TCACAGGAGCTATGGGAAGTGGATATTTCAAGGAGAAGGAAGTGGTCAGCTCTGTTGAATGCTGACCGGTTGCCCAAGGATATCCAGCTAATAAGTCCCAGGGCAGAAATGTAAAACCAGGTCTAACTATTTAATAAATGGTTCTGGAACAAATAGCAAGCCATTTCAAAACGATCAAAGTTAGACCCCTACCTCACACCATATGCAATTATAAATTCTAGCCAAGTTAAAGATCTAAAAGTAAAAAAAGTAATAATAATAATAATGAAGCAATTTTTTAATAGAAAAAAAAAAAAGCTTAATAATCTTGGGATGAGAAAGACCTTTGTAAGGCAAGACAAGAAACACAGAAACCAAAATAGATGTTTTAAATAGGGATTAGGCGGAAAAGGTGTTCAGGATATTTGATAAGCATGGGATTAATATCCCTAGTACACAACAGCCCAACAGGAAACTGGTTAAAGGAGATAAACAGACAGTTTGCATAAAACTTAAAATATATGAAAACAACCATATATATAAAAAAGACAATTGTGTCTCTAACATTCAGGGAAAGGCAAATAAAACAATGAGATCAGTGGCATCACTGGGGGGGGGTGATGAGTGGGGGTGCAGCCTGCACAGGGTGATACTGTCAGAAGGGGTGACGCCAAAGTGACTGTCTATAAATGTTTTATGCAATGTTTCCACCATGGGGCCCAGGAGCAGGCAATGATCCCGATCAGCTACAAGAAGGGGTGCCTGCAACCCCTGTTGCCTCCTGCATCTTCCTAGCAGCACCCCCAAGCCACTCGGATGATGCCCCCCCCGGGCCGTGCACCCCATGAGGTGCAGAGCCACGCTCAGACATGGCTCCTGGGCTCTGCAGGTAGAGGGAAGATACCAGACCACGCACCCAGGTGCACCCCAGCCTACACCCACTGCCAGCTTCCCTGGCAGTGCTCTGAGATGAGTTCCTCTAAGCACACTGGCTCCAGTAAGTGCCATGCAGTTCTTGGCACTAGGGTGCCCCGTGATCTGCACACTGCCTACCTGCAGTGACAGTCCCTGCTGGCACCAGAGGAGGAGGTCTAGGGGGGTGGGAGTGTGACGTCATGAGTTACTGCAGGGTAACACCAATGCTAGTGATCCCACTGAATGACATACCATCCCTTAACCTGGTAAAATATTTTAAAACCAATGACATTGCTAGGAAAGTAAGCACTAAAACCTTTTTGGAATAGTATCAGAAAAATCTATTAACATTTAACACCAAAACCAAACTCACTGCCACCAAGTGGACTCTGACTCACAGAGCCCCTAGAGGACAGAGTGGAACTGCCCCATAGGG